CTCTTATCTGGGTGAACAACGCTGCCCTGTGTTCGTTCATACGAACGCCGACCACCCAGCCATTCGCCAATTAAGCTGCGGTTAACCACAGCTTCTGTGTGGTTAACAAGCCACACCCTCCACATGCAAGGTGCTTGGTCATTCGGTAGTTTGTTCGTCTGTTTCCACAACATTATCCTCGCTGTCATAGATGTGTAATTCGCCAAACCAATATATCAGGGAGAGTTTAACATCCAAGCAAATAAGGAGCAATATGAAATCCTGGGACATAAAGGTCTTTCACAAGTGCCTCAAAACCCAATAAGTCACCGGGGCCATAATCACAGGGCAAGAGGCTGGCAAGCAGGCCTCTCCAAAACCAAGTGGCGAGGTCCCTTTCCCCACACATGGGTACTATATAGATAGAGAGATGTGTATGGGCTGGCCTCTTTACCCGCCTTGTTGCAGACACAGATTCTTGTTAAAAAATAAAAATAAAGGAACTCTGCATTGTTTACTTAAGCCACATTTGTTTGGTCATTGAGTAGAGTTTGAGAGAAACAAAAATGCCTGAGCTTTGCATTTTTGTTACAAAATGGAGTCACATCTGCTAAGTGGTGACTTATATTATACATTTTTAATTTCTATCTTATCTGTCAGGATAAATATCTGACACAATCAATAAGATACTTCATAGTCCCAGTTCTGATTATTTTTCTTAAATATGGTAAGCTTAAATAACTTACAGCAACAGATTTTCTTTAACTCCCAGTACATTTCTTTCAGATTTTTCCCAGCAGTAAAAGTTATCAAGAAGGACCTGAAAAGAACAGAAATACAGTAAGTAAGACTATGAAGAAATCATTCAATACAAGAACCAAAAATTCCAACTCTAAAAACTCAAGAAATCTTTTACAATCGTCTATGTCTACAAATGAAATAGTACAGAGAAAATCAAAGCTTTTCCCCTGTACTGAATGTGAAAAATGTTTTAACAATCACTCAAGTCTTGTTGTGCACATGAGAACTCACACAGGGGAGAAACCGTTCTCATGTACGGAATGTGGAAAATGTTTTTTCTGTAAATCACATCTTGTTAGACACAAGAGAACTCACACAGGAGAGAAACCGTTCTCATGTATGGAATGTGGAAAATGTTTTATCTATAAATATCAACTTGTTGTGCACGTGAGAACTCACACAGGAGAGAAACTGTTCTCATGTTCAGAATGTGAAAAATATTTTGTCTCTAACTCCGTTCTTGTTATCCATCAGAGAATTCACACAGGAGAGAAACCATTCTCATGTTCTGAATGTGGGAAATGTTTTAACAATCAATCAAGTCTTCTTAGTCATCAGAATATTCACACAGGAGAGAAACCGTTCTCATGTTCAGAATGTGGGAAATGTTTTAGCAGTCGCTCAACTCTTGTTTTGCACAAGAGAACTCACACAGGAGAGAAACCGTTCTCATGTACGGAATGTGGAAAATGTTTTTTCTGTAAGTCACATCTTGTTGAGCACAAGAGAATTCACACAGGAGAGAAACCGTTCTCATGTACGGAATGTGGAAAATGTTTTATCCGTAAATCACATCTCATAAGACACAACAGAACTCACACAGGAAAGAAACCTTTCTCGTGTTCAGAATGTGGGAAATGTTTTGTTACTAAATCAGAGCTTAACAAACATCAGAGAACTCACACAGGAGAGAAGCCTTTCTCGTGTTCTGAATGTGGGAAATGTTTTAGCAGTAAATCAAGTCTTGTTGAACACCAGAGAATTCACACAGGAGAGAAACCTTTCTCGTGTTCAGAATGTGGGAAATGTTTTGTTGGTAAATCAGATCTTAAAAAACACCAGAGAACTCACACAGGAGAGAAGCCGTTCTCATGTTCTGACTGTGGGAAATGTTTTGTTAGTAAATCAAAGCTTAACAAACATCAGAGAACTCACACAGGAGAGAAGCCTTTCTCGTGTTCTGAATGTGGGAAATGTTTTAGCAGTAAATCAAGTCTTGTTGAACACCAGAGAACTCACACAGGAGAGAAACCGTTCTCATGTTCTGACTGTGGGAAATGTTTTGTTAGTAAATCAGAGCTTAACAAACATCAGAGAACTCACACAGGAGAGAAGCCTTTCTCGTGTTCTGAATGTGGGAAATGTTTTAGAAGTAAATCATGGCTTGTTGAACACCAGAGAACTCACACAGGAGAGAAACCGTTCTCATGTTCTGAATGTGGGAAATGTTTTAGCAGTAAATTACGTCTTGTTGTACACCAGAGAATTCACACAGGAGAGAAGCCGTTCTCATGTTCTGAATGTGGGATATGTTTTAGCACTAAATCACGTCTTGTTGAACACAAGAGAACTCACACAGGAGAGAAACCGTTCTCATGTACGGAATGTGGAAAATGTTTTAGCCGTAAATCACATCTTGTTGAGCACAAGAGAACTCACACAGGAGAGAAACCGTTCTCATGTTCTGACTGTGGGAAATGTTTTGTTAGTAAATCAGAGTTTAACAAACATCAGAGAACTCACACAGGAGAGAAGCCTTTCTCGTGTTCTGAATGTGGGAAATGTTTTAGCAGTAAACCAAGTCTTGTTGAACACCAGAGAATTCATACAGGAGAGTAACCATTCTCATGTTCAGAATGTGGGAAATGTTTTAGCCTGCATTCGTGTCTTGTTGATCACCAGAGAACTCACACAGAAGAGAAACCGTTCTCATGGACGGAATGTGGAAAATATTTTAGCCATAATTCACATCTTGTAAGACACAACAGAACTCACACAGGAGAGAAACCTTTCTAATGTTCAGAATGTGGGAAATGTTTTGGTTTTAAATCAAATCTTGTTGCTCACAAGAGAGCTCACACAGGTTTATTGTCACGTTAACCACCATTGTGCCCTTATTGCTTTTAATAGATGGAAGAAATGCAAACATAAAAAAACACTTTTAAACTAACTTCTCATTTTTAAAGGGAATTTGTTTCTTGGAGTGAACAGAACAGATCCATTTAGCAGTTTTTTCATTCACTTTTGTCAGAGTAAAAGATTTTTCAAGTGAAAATAAAAAAACATGTATTTTTTTCAATTTTTTATCATATTTTTTTTTAAATTAAATTACATGAGATTAAATAAATAATGGTATATAAAGAAAGCCCATTTTGTCCTGAAAAAAAACAATATATAATTTGTATGGGAACATTAAATGAGAGAGAAGAAAATTACAACTAAACACAAACACCACAAAAGTATAAAAAGAGGCCTGGTCGCAAATGTACAACATTGCAAAAACAGTCCGGTACTTAAGGGGTTAAATAAAGAATTGTAATAAAAAAAAATTGTCATATAAGTAATAACTATAAGAAATAACAAGTCATGGCTGTATCTGTTTGTCAAGTTTTAGTCTAAATAATAACAAATCATGTCATAAAATATTTTAATATTTTAGATGCACCACTTGGGGCAGTAGTATTCATTAAAAGGAGAGTTTAGGTGGATTTAACCTATTCCCTTGCCCAGAATGTAGACCAGCAGCTATCATTTTCTACATGGGCTGGGGGCATTTATGAGTTATACTGTATGTTTGTATTGTATTGTAATTCAATGTTACTGCAAAAATTTGTTATAGTTTGTTACTATATTTTTTTTGTAGTAAATTGATGTTTAATATTAAACATTTTTTTTTTGTATATTGTATGCACATACTTGACCATAATATCAAGTGTTACGGTTGCCTCCAGGCTGGCTGGAGGTTGAACCATAGAAAGGATGCTCCTAGTGCTCACCAAAGGACCATCAGCACCATAAATACCATAACTACTGCGTAGACACCATAAGTATTGCAGACTCCACGAACCGCTGCTGCTGTTCTAGGATCTCACCATCTGCTATTCAACCTGAACCTAGAACCAGGCTCCAGGTTCCAGTAGGTGAACCGCTTCCTTCTGTAGAGCAAAGCTGAATCGGGAACAAGAGCTCAGTAGCTAAGGGAGTAAGAAGAGCACAGCAATCCCTGTAGTGATTATAGCTGTCCACTACAAACATGAGTCAAGGCTGCAAGTTAGAGGGTCAAGTCATTCTCATTTATTTGGCACTAAAGGGCCTTCTTTTATGCAGGTTTTCCTTACATAGGACCACCCACAGGGTTTTACAGAACAACCCTTTATGACCGACTGCAAGCACATTTTCCTTCCCAAAACAGTTCCATAGATTTGGGCTGTGCGGTCGGTCAATTTCACGCTGAAAAATGACTAAGTCTCATTCAAATGCATGAACGAGGCCATTCATGCATTTGGCTTAGTATAGCAGTGAGTTCAAACTGCCAAACGGGACTTAGTCTCTGAAGCTGAAAACGGAGTGTAGAAGAAGATAAGGGTCAGCGGTGTTCGTGAAAATGTGTAGCCGATTTCAGTTCCATGGACTTGGCTACACATACTGCTGACCTCGTTCGAATGAACAAAGATGGCGGCCGCCACTTGTTGGTTTGCACGAACTGCGGCCACCCGGCGGTCGACAATTTACCTACTGCAGTCTCCCAGGCTGGGAGGTAAATTGCCTGCACACTTCCACTTCTGGGTGGTCCGCCTGTGTGGCACTTGGTTCAGTAAGCCCCATTTATTGAACCAAGTGGGAGGAAGCCAGGAAAAAGTTATTTTACAGATCTGGGGGGCATTGTTCACCAAAGTCACAATATGTCCCCAGACAGTTCTTAAAGGACCGTACACACCCAATAAAAGTCCATAAGTTTTCAGGGGTACAGTCTCCCAGGGGCCATAGTCATGAGGAAGGAGGCTGGCAAAAAGGCTTCCCCACAACCCAGGAAAGCAGGGCAATTTGCCATTTGAAGGGCCAGTTACAAATGGCAGTTTGTAACATCAAGAAATAAAAGTCATGTTGTAAAAGTCATGTTGTATAATTAACAGTTTAATATTCCTATTTAAGTCTCTACCTTAACAGTAGCTACCTACTAAACTCTGCTGAAACTAAAATCAACATATCAGCGCTTAGTAGATGTTCTCTTATAGTCCAAAATAGGGAAACCGCTTAAAATGCAGAATTATTACAATAAATGTTAGAGTTCTAATGTCAATTAATGGAAGGATATGTCCACATATAATCAGGAATTTTAACTGTTTGCCAAATCTTGTAGTTGAAGTCTGTGTCCTTCAGTGTAACTTTATGTCCCACCTTAACTCAAAAAGACACTGACATAGCGTAATACTGTTAGAAAATTTATTCCCTTTTGATACATAAAAAAACCCCATAAGAGAAACCCTTACACGATCTTGTGGTGGAAAGCATGAGTGTTACAATGTACAAGCCAGAGTTGATGTTGTTACCACTCCATTGATAGTTGCTTGCACACCGGTCCTGTGCACTCGGACCGATGTCTACCCTGGAGCGCCTGCTGTCATGTACTGCTGTACTTGCCTTCACAAATTCAAATACAGAAATCCCGCCAAATATGATCTACGCGTTTTGCCCGTTAGATCGGGCTTTTTCAAGATAGAGTGTTTTTAGGATTAAGGCTAGATATATACACCATCTAATTATATTTCTCAGGTGTATAACATATTCTTAATTGTCTACTCATATGAGACTTAAAAAAATACATATGATCAATGTAATTTTGCTCAATAAATTCATTGATGACTAAATAGTAAACTCCATATATTCTCGTTCATAGCAGAACTCTTATTTCTAGCTTTTATTTGGCTTATAAGTTATACAGCTTTTTTTAAAGGATGGTTGCTTTTGAATATCTAGAAATACTTAATCTATTACAAAGCCCGTTCTCATAGTAATTTAAATGAACATCAGGAAGGTCGCTTTTGTAGTTGTTCCAATGCTTTTAACCCTTCATATGCCAAATCTCTATCTTACATTTTCATTTGGAGTAATTGAATTATAGGTGCTTGTTATTTCTACATAAGAATACACCAAGTTAAGACTGAAATATAGGTACTACTACGATCTTGTACAGTACATATCACATAAAGAGGTAATGACATAAATTACAAATGGAAAATTCATCAATTACAGTCATAATAACAAGAAGGATCGCAAAAAGAATAATTAAACTGACTATGATAAAACGGTGATATTAAAAAATTATTGAACAGAAATATAATTTTTTTCCACTTCATTGTGAACTCCTATGTTTCATGTTAAATTCCATAGGCAAAAAACATATCCATGTCCTAATCATATAGAATGGACATAAAATTAAAAGAAAATGAACATAAAATGAAGTTAAAAAGAAGATAGAGACATTATCTCAATGAATATCTTCTCTCCATTTAAAGACATGCCCACTTACAACTTGTGGGTTTATTTGGAAATATAAAACAGATTTCTAAATACATTCTAGTCTATACCGGATAATCAGCTAAAAAAGAATACATAACTTCAAATACCTATCCAAAAACTTCCATGGTTAAAAACAAAAGAATGCTATAAAATGCTGGTTGTTATGGTTACCCTCAGGCTAGCTGGAAGCTGGACCGCTTGGACGGTCTGGATCCCAAAAGCAGAGAAGGAGGAGAGTCGCTTTGGTAGTTATTCCATACGAATCCTGTAAATGTAGATCAATCCCACTAGCTATCATGCAGCTAGGACAAAAACGAGTGGAGGCTGCGATTTGAGGATCAAGCAAGAACTGGCTTTAATGACACACAGGGGACCATCTTTATGCAAATTCTCAGGCCCAGGGACAGCCCCCTCTGTCTCCAAGCAGTCTGCCCGACATCATAACCACTGTAGACCCCACGAACCGCCGCAGCTTTGTTGGGGTCTCACCGTCTCCCCCCACTCTGGACCCAAGACCAGGGTCCAGCTTCCAGTAGGTTGACCTCTCCAAATTCTAGAGAGCAGGAACAGGAACAAGCTCTTAGCAGAGCTTAGTGATTATACCCTGGGGAGTATAGTGATTATAGCAATCCCCAGAGTGTAGTTCTCTAATTCCCCTAAACATGAGCCAAAACTTCATGAAGGTACAAGATGATCTCAGCTTTTAATGACTGGCTTTTATGCAAGTCCCCATGCAAGGGGACATCCCACAGGGTGGGACACAGTACAACCAATCGCACAATGGTTACATCCCACACATCTCCTCCCCTTAGCCTTAGAGGTAACCCAATTATCTATACGTTTTAAAATACATTTTTTACCCAACTTTCATAACTCTAAAACCATACATCCAATAGTAATACAAGTCACATATTATTGATCAGCACATCCCAAATACAAACATACCCAAAAATCATGCAAATCCTTCAATTGGTTCAAAAGTTAGTCGAAATCCTTTGTGACCAAATGAAGCATGGCTTTTCTGCCCAAAACTAGTTCCACAGAGTCTTCTATCCTGGAGACAATTGGGAAGTAATCCAATTATCTCGCAGGACAGAGGCAAAACTCCATTGACCACATGGTTGCAAAAAGACA